GGTTGGTTTCATTTTTAGTTCACAGATCACAACAAGTAAGAATTGGTTCTGTATCATTTGGTGTGCCTCAAGGGTCGCATTGTGGACCTATTTAGTTCGGTTTGTTTATTAACGATTTAATTTCTTGTTTTCGTTTTTCACAATCTTTGTTATTTGCTGATGACTTGAAATTGTTTAAAATTATTAGTTCCTTAATTGATGCGTTAGAGTTGCAATAAGGTCTTAATATTTTATTTGACTGGACCATCAAAACTCTATTGATAAATGTTATATTATTTTTTTCCTTAATATCTCATCGAATATTAACTTTAATTATCACTAGTTTACAAGGTTTTAAATCTAAAGACAAAAATAGTTGAATCGAAAGGATTTGGGTTCGGGAAATTCAGATCTGAAAGCAGAAACAATCCATTACGTCAGGTTTTTGAGATATTTATATAAAAATACCCCGTATTTTTTTTTTCTTTTATACAACTCTTGTAACTTTTTCATTTTTAAATATATGAATATATAGTTCTTTGAGCAAATTTGTATCATTTTATAAGATCATTTACGTAAATTAATAACATGCGTGTCAATTTTTCAAGCTACTAAATCAATGTTTTATTTAAAATTTTTCAGGTATTGATTTTAGAATAATTGGTTGCTTTTGATTTTTCTAAGGGAAGTGATAATTAAAATGTGAGCTTTGGCCTCACAAAGATCTTTTAAAATGATACAAATTTGGTCAAAGAAATACAGGTTTATCTTTAAGAATAAAGAAGTTACAGGGGTTGTATCAAATAAAAGCAACACCCAGTAATATTATAAACATTATAATTAAAAATTAAAAATGATTAACATTAGCGTTTCTTTTATTGACAGTACTGTCAGTTTGCCTTATAATAGACCAACAGTAACACATTTTTTTCCCAAAAACCGTGATACCTTCTTTTTAAGCATATTTGAACAGGTATTCCCGCTTTAGGTACTATAATTTTACTATAAACGTAACAAAACTCATTTGCACTTACTTTGCACGATCTCGAAGACATTTTTTATGCGACAATGGTACATTAACATGAATCAGTCTAACACTAACGTGAAGGTAAAAGCAAATTACTTTGGATTTATGAAAAAACCTGACGTGATACGGATTATTTGTTTTTGGATATGTTGTCAGTAAGTAATTTAGAAGTAAAACATATTATTTTTTAATTTTGGATATGAAAAAAAGTTTAAATTTGTAAACTAGTGTTAACATCTGGGTTAGTCTATGCTGGTTCCTGTTAGTGAAATCAGGGATTTGGGTGTTATTTTCGAATCAAAACTGACTTTTAAAAGTCATTGTAACGGCCTATGTAATAAAGCTAACAGCATGTTAGGTCTAATCTGGAGACACTGTCAAAGTTTTTCTGTTGGGACTCTGAAAATTCTCTTTACTTCTTTGGTGCGACTCAACCGTCTTCATGTTACAGGAGATAAGAAATCAATTTAATATGCAATCTCTGGAGCGTTATCGTAAATTTTTAGATATTTAATTCCTTCATGGTCTTGTCAATGATGATCTTTATAATTCATCATTGCTGCTGGTGACAGGGTATAAACCCTATTTATTGTGTAACATATTTCCTGCCGTTTTATTTTATTATCTTATTTTCGCGGGCGCTCACCACCTGAGATCCATGTCTCCGGTTTGAGAGCAACCCCGGCGTTCCCTCCCCAGGAGAGCGCCTTGGCGCCCGAGCGACCGCCGCTCCTGACCGAAGGCGCCGCCCCCGGCGACCAGACGTGTTTCTTATATCAGCGGCACTAGTCGGCTCAAGGCTTGGCATCCAGGTACTTTGCCACCACACGTTATCGACGAGATTCCGGACCGTTCCACCGGAATTTCGTCGCAATTGTTATCTTGATATTCAGGTATAGTTAAGTGAACATTATTATACTTTTGTTTGTTTTCTAAATTGGTGTTAGGTATTTTTGTTGAAATGTTTTTAGGTCTTTCCAGTGTATTAGTATATAGACATGTACTATTTTGTAAAAGGGTTTCCCGTTTATTAATAAATTAAATTAAAAATTAAATATTTTGAGAAATTTTTAAATGAAAAGGAGTACGACGACCAGATCTACCAACAGAACAAGAAATGGGGGAGCTGATAAAGGGACCTAGGAGGTAACTGGATAACTGAAAAAATAAAAAAAAAAGTGGTGGAGAAAATCTAATAAGCGAAACATTTTATCATCTGTTACTTAGAATGGGGCGATAAGAATCAATGCCAGAACGATGGAATTTTTAAGAAAAGGGGAAGACAATGTGTAAAGAATATACTTAAATATATGTGATGTTACAATAAAAAGGTGTTTCTGGTATAAAATACTGCCAAAAGTGACGCCTTGTGACGTTTAAATGTTATAAATTTGACATATAGGTAGAAAATTTGAAATAGCGTGGGACTCGAGTTATCCTTCTTTTGAGAGTTTATTTCATTTTACACATGGTACTAAAAATGATCAATGAAAAAAATTATTATAATTTTGACTCGTTCTTGATAAAATTGGTAGTTTAATTACACAATATTATTATGTTCAAAATCGGTTTTTTAATACTTGTAGCTAAAAAAAGCAGATGACAGGTTTTACTTCGTTCGGGAAGTCCAAGGGTCGTATCAAGTGTTTATTAATATATATAACATATTTGTTTAAGAATAAATAAATAATTAAATAAATAAATAAATAATTTAATTGTCTGAGTTTTATAGGACTATCCATATTATGATTTTGTAACAACAAAGCATAGTCATAATTACGTGGAGGATACACTCCTTCAATTTTATAACATATAAACTTCAGGAATTTTCTTTGAATTCTTTCTTCTAGAATACTGTAATATGCATAAAGAGGGTGCTATATTACAGTTTGCTAGCGACAAGTTCAAAATATAAGTTTTTGATCAACAGAGGACCCGAGAAACTTCGGCTAGTTCGTATTATGAAACCTAGCATTTTTGAACTAGACGAGCAGACGTTGGTGATATGTTGAATAATGGACAACTGTGAATCGAAAGTTACTCCAAGGTCCATACAGATATTTTTCTTTTCTAATAACTGACGACATATTGAGTAGGACGAATTAATAAAATTAATTTCTCTTGGCATACGACATAAAGTGCGATTTTTTAACATTAAAGGCAAGGAGAAATTTGGTACACCACTCAGTAATAATATCTAGATTCTCTTGAAGCAATGTGTCATCATCTGTACTTGATATAGGTGTAAATATCTTAATGTCATCAGCATACGCCAATACCTTCCAATTTAAGACGGTGAGCAAGTCATCAGTAAAGAGGACAAACAGCAAAGGGCCACGGTTAGATCTCTGTGGAACACCGGAGGTTACTGTAAAAACACTGGATTTGTAGCATTTATAAGAGACATTATCCACTCTGTTGACCAAATAAGATCTCATAAATCACAACAAATCAAGTGAAAACCCAAAAAAGCAGACTTTGTTTAAAAGTATCTCATGATTGACACCATCGAATGCACTCAAAAAGTCTGTATAGATTACGTCAATTTGCCTTTGTTGCCAACTTTTGTTTTGCTTACTGGTCAAAATTTGGTCAAAAAAGGTTGGAGACGGTTGAGCGGCTTGTTAAGGAACCATGTTGCTCAACAACATACCACCCCAACCAACTTAGAAAGTGCAAGCGGCAACAGCACAATTTTAAGCGAAAAAAACACTAAAGTCACGGCAAAACTGTGGAGCACAAGAACTCACTCAGTCACTTCGGATGATTAGAAAAGTGTTTGAAAAAAAATTCAATAAAAATTATTTTTTTGTATTTATGATTTTTTTTTACTTTGGTATCATAAATAACGAATGAAAAAAGTTCTCAAAAGAGAGATCACTCGATCTCCCATATTATTTAAAGTGTTTTATCGATATGTTATAGTTTTGATATTCTAAGATCACAACGTGCCTACATCAGCATCGTTTGATTACCTATACCTTGTAATACCTAGAACTTCTATTCTAATAAGTCTGATGTTAGTCTGTTTAGAACTTACAGTGCTTTGTTCTATGAGAAAACAATCATTAGGTAACCAAATTTTAAATGTCAAAGCTATCGGTGATTAACATTTCGTTAGCATCAAATATCGTATGAGCAATGGAGTTTTAGATATACCTAATACACGTAAGCTTATTTCATTTCTTTGCAGTGAACATTAGCTCTCTACCGTGTCTGACTGCACTGATCACAGCCTCCCTTCGTCTAAATTTATACAACTCTCCTTTTTAATGAATTACCTCTTTCCCCCAAAAAATCATTTTTTTGGAGGGTCAAAATATTTATGTTTACAATAAATTGTAATTGACAAATAATCCGTGGCAGTAAGTTGGTAGATTCTAGTGTATCGAAAAGCATCGTCAAACTGATAAATCACCCGTGCATGCTGTGGTCGATGTAAAAAGCGGCAATAAAAAACATAAACTGCCTTCAAATAGAGGCAGACGACATTATTATGTAGTTATTATAATAATAAATCTCGACTTGAACAACTAAAAAAAAGGATAATACGCTTCACGAAACATTTGACCTTCCCTAGCATGTTATCCACTTTTATATCGAGTTTTATCCAGACTTCCTCCAAGTCGTCCATAAATTTCCCGCTTCCCGGAGCCCTTCGCAGATTTTTAAGTGTACAAGGATATAACTTTACTTTTCACGACATATCATTTTGTGCAGTAAGACTTGGAAATGCTGCAGCAGCGGATTCATGGAGATACATTTTTTTCCAATTAGAATTACTATTAATAAAATGCTCTTTTCGTATATTAAATCTCATGATTAAAATAGCAGTTCAATAGAAAGGATGAATAAAATGTTTACAGTTATATTATTCACACTGCTGTTGACATGAAGAAAGTAAAAAATAAAAAATCGCATTACTTTTGAAGTTTTGGTTGTATGGAAAAGTTTTGGCAAAAAACAAACGTGTTGATTGGTTGAAACGGTTGAACATTTTAAACAGGTGTGTTTATATTTTAGTGTGTCTACAAGTGCACTAATGTTACAAATTATTATTGGAAAAATATATAAATTAAAGAATTATGCATCCAGATGTACTTTCAACTTTTTCTCTTGCTTCTTGCGCTTCTTCTCTTGCTTCTTGCGCTTCTTGTTTTGCTTCTTCTGCTAAGTTAGTTGCTCTTTTCAATGTTTCTAAAAGTTTTTCTTTGTCGTCTTCTAAACTGTTTTTCTCTATTATAAGGCGTGCATTTTTCTCTTGTGTGCATTGCATCTGAAAAACATGAGTTTTTTACTGCTGCGTTTTTATTTTTTGCAACTGCGTGCACTTAATATCCAAAAAAAGTGATTGTAGATCGACGGATTTATTTTATAGACTAATTTTTCTAATTATTTAGAAACGCCATGTCTAATTTTTCTCAAATTTCCGCAACGCAACGTTGTGATTGGTATAACTCTGAGATACTTGTGGCGTTGACTGTGCACTAGTGGCTCTAATAATTTTTCATTGTTGTAAAAAAGTGGTAGGTGCTTATTCAAAATATTTCTAAAATATTCCAGCATGGAGTTGTTATGAAAGTTATATATAAATTAAGTGGGTAAATTGTAACTGGACATTTGTTATGAGTTAGGACTCGATATGACCATTTTTCAGAACAGCCAAATTTTTAGCTTTACAACAAAGTTTAAAAATGTACATGACGGTATACTAAAAAAGCATTTTGTTAATGCACCTATACTCGTAGAATTACTTACCTCCAGTTCATGAAGTCTGGACTTTTGTTCGCTTTCTATCTGGGCAGTTCTTCGACGTATTTCTTCCTCCAATAATTGTTGTTGATACGCGAACTTATCCTCATACCTCCTTTCTATTTCAGTCACAAGCTTTTCTTGCAGTTTTTCTTGATTTTCTAGCTGCTCTCTTAATTTCTCCATTATCAAGTTTAACGTTTCCTCACCACGTTTGTTTATTTTTTCCAAGAGCTGCTGTTCAAGGCTAGTTTGTCTATCTCTTAGAGCTTCTAATTCACGTTGAAATTCCTCATCATGTATTTTTTTTACGTTTTCCGTTTCTTCTCGGAGTTGGGTTTTAAGTGCATGCTGATAAGCAGTCGCAAGATTTTCTTGCTGTTGTTTTTGATTTTCTAGCTGCTCTCTTGATTTCTCCATTATCAAGTTTAACGTTTCCTCACCACGTTTGTTTATTTTTTCCAAGAGCTGTTGTTCAAGGCTAGTTTGTCTACTTCTCAGAGCTTCTAATTCACGTTGAAATTCCTCATCATGTATTTTTTTTACTTTTTCCGTTTCTTCTCGGAGTTGGGTTTTAAATGCATGCTGATAAGCAGTTGCAAGCTTCTCTTGCAGTTGTTCTTGATTTTCTAGCTGCTCTCTTGATTTCTCCATTATCAAGTTTAACGTTTCCTCATCACGTCTCTTTCTTTCTTCCAAGAGCTGCTGTTCAAGGCTATTTTGTTTATTTCTTAGAGCTTCTAATTCACGTTGAATTTCCTCAGCCTGTGATTTTTTAACCTTTTCCGTTTCTTCTCGGAGGTGGGTTTCAAACGCTTGTTGTTGATAAGCAATTTCTTTTTCTTTCTCTTGCTTGACCCTGTTTAGGCGTCTGTATTCGATAAATCTTTGGTCTAGCTTCTGAAATTGAAAACAGTTAACTTCGTCTAATGAAAAAGACTCTTTAACTAACCCCTTTGAGTAGTGTTTTAAATTTTCTCTTGATTTCAATATTTCCTAATATTTTTTTATTATTAAAATTATCCATTGCGTTTTGTTTTTGTTCAAGATGATGTCCTTCTAAAACGTCATTCTCAAGTGATGCGTCAACCAGAACGATCTCGTCCATTGCTTCTTTATACATTGCTCCGGATTCGGTTACAGCTATTTTAAGTTGAGCTTCAGCTGTTGCCTAATAATTATTATATCATCAGTAACACAACATTGTAGATTTCTAAAGTTTTTGATTACCATGTACATTGTAGGTAAGGGTGGCACATTTCCACCGGAAAAGTAGTCGCAGTATATTTGAATAAACGTAAATAGATCGGACACTTTAATTTTTTCTCCATTTATCGTTTTTGGAACCAAATTTTCTTGCGATAGAATCTTTGGTACAAACTCTTCTACATGTTTCAGAAACCTTTCATCAATGTCTACAACCAATTATAGATGTGAGTTTAAATAAGTATAAACTATAGTATATTACCTTCAAGTTTTCCACTAAATGATGGACTTTTCGCAACAGTTTCGCCCGGATGCGGTAACAAGCAACAGTAAATATTTTCAAAAAGCTTACGAATATTATCCTTTTGAATATTTAACTCCGAAGTTAATTCTGTGGTACGATTGATTACACTAGTCAAAAGTCGCTGTCCGCCGCTAGTGCCGAAATCAAATTCAAATTGGTAAGGCCAGTCTCTTATTAAAAACCAAAGATTTTGAAAGGGTGCTGCATTCCATCTTGAACCTTCTTGCAGCGCTAGTTGGCCATAACCCGAAAAACACTAAAATTAATTAATCCCGTAAAGCCGAAAACCAACACTTTTGCCTTACTTCCAAATGTTCCAGATCCAATAGGCTTATTTTCTCCTTCAAATTGAAAATTTGTACCGAGCTAATTAAGGTACTGATTGCAAAAATGGCAGCACAGTCTTGCATTGTGGTGTCAACATCAAAAGTACCTTGGGAGTCCAAAAGAACTATTGCAATCTGATAACAAACAAATATTTATAATAGGTGTTAACAAAGTCATAAAAACATTACTTCCTCTCCTGATGGTAATTCGGCTATAAATATCTCAGACCACACTAAAATACCGACTGTATGTCTATCGCTACCACATTTCCAAGCAGTACCAGAAATATTGCCATCTTCTGCGTTAAGCCACTTTTCGGAAGTTATTTTCTTCAGTTTATACTAAAAACCAAATTCAGAAATACGTGTAGCGTGTAGCGATTAATAGTACCTACCTTTAATTTTAAATAACGGACAAAAAAATTAAGCAGAAATGATTTTCCTTGTTGAAAAGTGCCATTAATTGAAACCACACACACAGGTTTGTCTTTTACGCTCGGATTAAGAAAAACCTGGCGAAGAGTATCTTCGTTTGCCGCGATTTTGTTACCCTCACTTAAATCAATGATTTGTTTGGCACTTGGTTCGTACGCGAACGCCATTCTTACGTTTCAGGGTATCTAATAATTACACAAAATCATTTTCAAATTTGGACATGAACAACATACTGACATTAAATGTTTTGTAAAGCAGATTTTACTTGAAATGTGCAAATTCTAAAATAAAATTTTGTTAATTTATCGAAGAAGCTGGAGTCATTGGAATTATAGCACGTAAGAGGTAAGGGAAGTTCGGTGTAAATAATTTTGAATAGATATTTAATTAGTGATCTCTGGCTGAGATAAAGGGAGTTTATGATTAATACACGTAAGACTAACTTGACTTTACCGGGAAACCCCAAATCTAGTGGAGAGTTAAAAAATTATCTGATAACAAAAAATTGCCTAACATATCAGGAAAGTATTTATGCTTCGACCTATGCAAGAAAGATAAGATAAAAACCTTTTGGTGGATTTAAATAAGCGATTACTAACCCACGAAGCAAATACAAAAAAAAATTTACATGTGGGTATTTTGATTAACATTTAATGGACGGTAAATAGATAAAAAACGTGTTCAGTATCAAGTCTTCAACACATTTATATTACCTAGTTATCAAACAATTATTTTGCAGTTATTCATACAAATTATCTAATTTTACTCGTAACTTAGATTATTAGAAATGTAAATCGGATGATTTGTTGACGAAAAATTTACAAAATTGAAGGAAAAAAAAAGTTTTGTAGCTACAGTTACAATTAATTATAATGTGCGTAAAAAGTTACATACCTGATCTTGGTGTTGAAATTGTAAAATGTCTCTCAGTTCTGATCTTTTTCTTGAATAAATATGGCGTTTTGGTTTTTTCCTTAGAACGGGTTGAATCAAAATAACGACAAAATTTATCTTATTGGTTTATACCATTATACGTGTTTATATAATACCTACGCTTCGGGGACTCCCCACTTCTGATAACACTTTATAAGCTGCGCCATCTCCCTTTTTTCAACGTATCACTTTATGTAATAGGATAATCTAAATAATACATTATTTTTATCTGGCCCAGTACTTTGAACTGACACACTAGAGATGAGAATTTTGTTTAAGACTGGTAGGACTCGTGATGAAACCAGTACAAGTTTGGCCCAATCTTAATATTAAAGAAAAACTTTAAGAGTTTAAATAATTTATTAATAGACACTGCTACACGTGTTTCGGTACACAGTACCGTCTTCAGGCAGAAGGGAAATAGTTTCTCGTTTGGAGAAGAACGAGTCATCCCATTTTTTTAATGGTAATAATTGTATTAATGTTGTTTTGTGAAAATGCATTTCAAGCTCATCGTTACTGTAATACCAACATAAATTTTACGAAACAATTTTATTTATGAGTGCTTGGTACTACTGATCGATACGTAGAATTAAGAGTTATTTGGCGACCATGCGTCATGGTGTGTTACAGTGAGTTTTTTTTTTGATAAAGATAAGATTACCAAATATTTTATAACAGCGTTTCGTAATTATTAGCATACTTCCGAATTTTTACTGCTGTTAAAGGAATGTAATTTAAGACTCATGAAAAATAGTTCATTGTAGTTCATAGGTAGCTCAAAGAAATGAATGAATAAAATTATTGCCTAACAGAAAATGTATTTAATCATTATAAGACAGTAATTGATAAACTTATAATTTTTCTTCAGATTGTAATAACAAGAAAGAACTTCAATTCTCTTATTCTTTAAAACACATATTTGTTCCATGCGTTGACACACAAGCTGGACCATTTTATGTCTATAAATTACCTGCAAAATTTTTGTTAAATTACACTACTGCATTTTGTACTGGCATATTTCATTTTTTGTGAGGTACTCTATATTTCCTGTAGTCTATTATACCTTTCCATAAACACATTATATTTTCTTACTCCTGATTTGTTTGTTTATGATATGTGAATGGACGAAATGGGGGGTTCGGCTATAGATGAGTAGCCCCTGGGCGTTGTTTGACAGGTCAGCGAAGTGCGCTCTGCTGCTGACGTTACCCACGGTTGAATACCTTCATTATAGACTTCATCCCTGCTTATTGTAGCTTGCAGCTTAATTATTTTAATAATAAAATTTTAATGCTCATTTTAGCTGCTTTCCTCGACATGACTTGCTGTAATGACATAGGTTAGCAGTACACATTGCATTGCAAGTATCCATGTTAAGGAATAAATATCCTTTTCCTTAAATTCCTTAAAGTGCAATATGAATCGTAAAGGAAACTTTTAAATAGGTTTCTTTATTTGGAATAGAGCTTTTAGAGAGAACTGAAACAACAATTGACTTGGATCGCATTCCAAATCATTGTCATCAATGAATCAATTTTTGGAAAAAAATGAAAATTATAAAACAACATTTTGCATCCGCCCTAAAAAATTGATGATGTCATCTCAAAATTTTGCTGAATAAATCCTGTCTTAAATGTGCAAACTATCATGAGACAATACTTATGATTTATCACTCCGTTAATATTTTTTAGATTTGCTTATACAGGGCGTCTCAAAAAATTGCTGAATCAGTCAATTTATTATTAATCAAATTAAGAACGATCCACCCCATTTTCTCGAAAATGGTTCGATTAAATACGATCGTTTTTATAACAATAAAATAATAAGGTAAGAATTATAATACTAACATTCAGAATATTTTGTTCACTTGAGGCTTATCAATAATTTTAGTAATCTGTTTTGATATGATGCAAGCCAAACAAATGTCTACGTGACATTCTTCCGATGTATAAACATCAACATTTTACCACTGCGCATATTGCTGCCGTTGATAATGTGCTATAAATATACTTTACAATGTCATTACTTGTGCAGAGACGGTTTATATGGATATGCTTGTGATGCTGGACCAATAAGCCCCCTTCTGGGTTAAATGTAACGGAAAATAAAATTTATTTGTTCTTAATTTGGTTATTACAAAAATATGAAGCAAAATGCAAAACTGGCCACTTCCCGGCGTTCCACTAATTTATCACTTGCAACCAGACAACCAATTGCAACAAAGAGCTGCCGCCTCAGTTTTGTATGCAGTACCGTTTTTCATTCTTATTTTGCTTTTTTTATCGTTCAATAAAGTATTCTGCACACTTTTGAAATTATTGCATTTGCATTCATATTTTTTCGATTTGCTGAGACAGGGTGATGCAAAAAAGAATTAATGACTTTTTATTAATTCTATTGATTATATCAGGACTGCAAAACCGAATGCCTTGAAATCTTGCAGATGTTTTGAAGTTATTGCAGGCATGGTAAATTTTTAATCAACATATACCTCTTTATCCCCCCCAAAAAATTGATTTCGACAAAAAAATACTGTCACTGATGAGCAAGTTTCTTGATGTTCAGCACGCTGGAATTTTAGAATTTTGAATTGTTTCGAAAAGCAGCTATTAGGATAAGTCAGCCTGAGCTGTTGTTCAGTGCTAACCATAACTATTTTAAGCAACACTTATAGAGAAAGAAATTCACAAAATATTGAATAACAAATCGTAAAACACGTAGTTGAGTAGTTAGTTTTTACTTTCCAAACGTAAGTTAGGGAAATATTGCAAATCTCGAGCGAATGGATACTTTCATGTTTCCTCAATGTTTAATGATTCCTAGAGTGCGAAAACATAGGTTTACCATTTCGGTCTGTCTGTCTGTCTGTGTCGATTTTTATTAGACCACAAGTTCCGAAACTACTGGGTCGATTGTTCTCAAATTTTGATGTAGGTTAGAAATATTGTTTAAATCGTAAGACATACTGTTTTGAGTTTTCGTGACAGGCATGGAGTTAGTTTTAGATCATTTTTTTTTAATTGTTAGATGGTTTGAGATATGATAAATATATATATAAGAACAAGTGGTTTCACATTTATAAAATATGTATATGCAAGATGACCGACAAAAAAACTTTGACCCTGTATGTTTTTTTGTTAATTTTTGAAGAAATTTGTTTTTAAACATTAATAATAATAATAATAACAACATTAATACAAAATAATCCCACAGGCATTTGCCGAATTACTGGATTACATCACTAATAAGTAGGTAAACAGTAATGGTAATAATGAACAGCGCGAAATAGATAGTAATACTCAACTAAATTTCCATAGTTTCAAAGATAAGCTTAATGTCGATTTTGTGACTGATCAAGGAGTAGTTCCTAACAGCCTGATGAAGCGGGGAGGTTTTCACGATATTATAGTTCTCGGTACTGCAATTTCAAATAGATTAGTACTCCGAAAACGTGCTGTTACTGTCCGAAACTTTAACATACTCAGTAACAGTGGGCAATCTATGTAGGAACGAACTAAATAAACCAGCATTAAAACAGAGTCCAGCATTCTTCTTCTCTGAAGACTGTGTAACTTAAACCTTTTCAGAAGTAGGTCATGTGGAAAACCTTGAGTCGGATAAACCCCATCAATCCTGTAGGCAAGGTATTTGAGGAAACTCCTTTGGATTTTTTCGATGTTTCTTTTGAGTGTCGAATGACAAATTCTAATGATTTAAATGCTTTAGTAGTAATTATGTTAGTGTGATCAACAAAATTCAATTTTGTATCAAACGTAACCCCCAAGTTACGAATTAAAGATTTACGTTTTATGACGTTATTGTCAAAACAGTAATCATAATGAGTGTTGTTGGTAATTTTGGAGAAGGACATTACGTAACACTTATTACCATTGATGCAAAAGAAATTCTCCTGGCACCAATTAAAAATAATACGAGGATTATTCTGAAGCCTCTCACAATTTTCGAATAATTTAACCTCTACAAAAATTTTCAAATCGTCAGCAAACATTAAACAGTCGACTGTTAAATACTTCGGTTATATCATGGATATACATATTAAAAAGCAGAGGACCCAAAACGGAGCCCTGAGGAACACCTGAAGTTTGAGCATAGAAATAATAGTCGAAACCATTTAATGAAACATACTGCGATCTACCAACTAAGTATGATTTAATTAAGGCGATAAGAGAGTCTGATAATCCAAAGGTTGAGAGTTTACGGAGCAATGTATGGTGATCAATACGGTCAAAGGCCTTAGAAAAATCTATGTAAATTCAGTCAACTTGCCCTCGTCGATCTAAAACTTCAGACAGAATTGAGAAAATATTGTCAGATTAGTGACTGTCGACCGACCTTACTCAAACCATGCTGCTTAGTTGTTATCATATTGGAGAAGTGAGAATAAATAATAGGATGGAGAATATATTCAAACAGTTTAGCGAAATTGTTAATTATGCTTATAGGACGATGATTGGATATATCAGAACGATTTCCAGCTTTAAAAATAGGTGAGACACGTGAAACCTTCCACAATTCAGGAAATTGTGATGTTTGAAGAACTAAGTTAAAGATGAAAGTCTAGGGTCCGGCAAGTAGTATGGCACGGTCTTTTGAAAGAAAAGAGGGTATGGAATCAGGACCAGCCGTCATTTAGGGCTTTAATCTCTTTAAAGCTTGCTAAACAACTGATATCTTTAGTAGGACATGTATTCTGATTGAATGTTTTAGTAAAGAAATTTGCAAATGAATTAACAATTTTCAAGATCATTTAATGTATATTGAAATTGCGTAGTACAACTCGATTTAGTAAATGTAATTACTCTGCATTTACCCTCATTAATAGTTTGACCATTGTTACTACACCACATACTGAAATTATTTAGGTCTGCTTGTAAGAGAACCCAATCACTGCTATTTGAGATACAGTTAGCTATCTTAAGATGATCCGCATAAACAAAAACACGACAATTAAAATGCACTAATGCATCATTGAAAAAAACAACAAATAAAATAGGTCCTAGATTCGATCCTTGCGTTACGCCACTAGATGTGTATAAGTGTGCGATCTAAAACCGTTATATTCAAC